ACACCTGATGGACTTGTATTACCAACAGATGAAAATGAAGGACAAAATGTTACAATATCAGAAGATCTTCATGCACAAGTTACAAGTTTTAATCAAGACACAACAATTAAACCTAATGCAGATATAAATAAAGTAATTGCAGTATGGGAAACATATAGACAAAGAAGAAGTAAAGAAGATTGGTTTGATTGGTTTAGACAAATTGCTATGGTATTTTTAAAAGAAAGTCCAAGTCAATCATTATGTTATTGTCACTTATTATCAACAGATCATTTTCCATTAGCAAGAGACTTGTTTAATTATGCATTTTTATCAATGTGGCAAGACTCAACAGATAATTCACAAAGACTAACTAATTGTTTAATAAAAGTATTAGAAAATAATAATACTCCACATGAAATTATTCAAACAATATTAAATTTATGTGAATTTATGGAAAGAGAAGGAATTAAAGTTCCTATTAAATCACTTGGGGATTATTCAAAGAAATGTAATGCATATGCTAAAGCATTACATTATAAAGAACAAGAATTTCTTGAAAATGCTAATATTAATTTGATTGAAGAACTTATTGGATTAAATAATCAATTACAAAATTATGATGCAGCTGCTGGGTTAATTGAATATACTAAACAAATTAAACAAGTTCAAAATAATGATACAGAATTAAATCAAACATGGTATGAAAAATTAGGAAGATGGCAACAAGCATTAAGTATTTATGAAAGAAAATTACAAGAAGATATTAATAATCCAGAACTTCTTGTTGGTAAATTAAATTGTTTACATGAACTTGGAGATTGGGAATCTCTTGATACAACAGCAAAAACATTATGGAAAATTGGAGATAAAAAAGCAATATCAAGTGCAAGATCATTATATGCAGCAGCATTATGGTATTTAGATGATTGGAATGAATTTGATTCTATTGTTAGTGAAATGACTGAAAGTAATTTTGAAAATGATTTCTTTAAAAGTATTAATTGTATTCATAATGAAGAATTTGAAGAAGCTAAAGCACTTATTAATCAACAAAGAATTGCATTAGATGCAGAATTAAGTTCATTAGTTGGAGAAGTATATGAAAGGTCATATTCTACTATTGCTAAGGCACAAATGTTAGCAGAATTAGAAGAAGTTATTGCATGTAAAGAAGGATTATATAATCAAGATGCTAAAAGTATTTTAAAATCAGCATGGAGTGAAAAATTAATAAATGCTAAAGCTGATGTAAGTATTTGGCAAAAATTATTAAAAATAAGAAGTTTTGTATTAACAGAAACAGAAAATAGTGAATCATGGATTAAATTTACAGGACTATGTTATAAAAGTGGAAAATATAAATTAGCAATGAAAACTCTTGATAGATTAGCTGGAATTAATATTGAAAATCATCTTGAAGAATTACAACCAAGTAAACTTCGTATTGGAGTTCAATATCTTAAATTACAATGGAAAGGAGCTAAAGACCTTGAAGAAAAAAAGAGATTATTAAATGTATTACAAAATTTTGCAGATATTATTGAAGAAAGAAGAGGAGATGATTTAAATCTAAAAGCAGTTGTATGTTCAAAATTAGGTGAATGGAATTTATATATTGCACAAAATAGTAATGCATTTAATTATGAAACTATACCTAATATTTTAATGTATTATCATAGTACAATACAATATGATCCTGAAAGTTATAAATATTGGCATCATTGGGCATTAATTAATTTTGAAATTGTTTCATATATTGAATTAGATGAAAATTATAATGAAGAAACATTAGTAGATTATCTTAAAGTCAGTATTGAAGCATTTGTAAAATCACTTATTTTAACTAAAAATAATCAAACGTTACAAGACACTCTTAGACTTTTAACTATTTTATTTAAATATGGAAAATATCAAGAAGTAGAAGAAGCTATTGTTGAAGGTATTCGTGCTCTTCCTGTTGATATTTGGTTACATGTTATTCCACAAATTATTGCCCGTATTCAATCGAATGTACCAGCTGTTAAAAGAGTAATGACAGATTTATTAACTACTATTGGTAAAAAACATCCACAAGCACTTGTCTATCCATTAACTGTTGCATCTAAATCACCTTCATATGATAGAAGAAAAACTGCTATGTCTGTTATTGAGAAGATTAGAACAGATTCTGGACATCTTGTTGAACAAGCATTACTTGTAAGTGAAGAACTTGTTCGTATTGCTATTTTATGGCATGAAGCATGGCATGAAGCACTTGAAGAAGCATCAAAAGAATTTTATGTTAATCATTCATTTGATGGAATGATGGCAATTTTACAACCATTATATGATCGATTAGAAAAAGGAGGAGAAACACAAAATGAAAGAGGATTTTTACAGTCATATGGAAAAGATCTTAGAGATGCATTTGAACTTTGTATAAGATTTAAAAACAAAGGAAAAAGAGCATCAGAAAAAGACCATGATATAGAAGGTGCATGGGAAATTTTCTTTAGAATTTACAAACGAATTCATAAATCTATTAATGCTGTTGCAGTATTAGAATTACCTCATGTCTCACCAAGACTAATGGAAGCACATGATCTTGATATTGCAGTACCAGGAACATATAAAGCACAAAATGTTAATAATATTATTAGAATTAAATCCATTGCACCAGTTCTTAATATTATTCCATCTAAACAAAGACCAAGAAAACTTACAATTGTTGGATCTAATGGAAAAGAATATAAATATTGTTTAAAAGGACATGAAGATTTAAGACAAGA